GATCGGCGCGTGTCCAGTCAGTGAGATTCGGCATACTGATGCTTCGATGTTAGAAAGCGCGGGGGGGTCGAGTGGGACGCAATGCAGGGCTCTTCTATAGTAAATGACGGTACCACCACCACGAGCAGTGAGCCTGTCGTTCCTAACCATGTTGTAGTTCGCGATTTTAGGGTCGCGGCGCGCGGGCTTAAGCAGGGTCTCCTGCACCAAAAAGATGTCAATTTGATGGTCACGCAAAAAATCACAAACCTGATCACGTTGATTTGCGAGACCGTAAGCGTTAAAAAATCCTATCGTTACGGATAGGGGCTTGATTCTACTTATGTACGCCATTGATTACCGGCGGAGTGAGGGGAGGACGTACGTATTTAACGACGCGTATACGTCAGCGTATTCTTGCACAACGGCGATAAAGTGTTGTGCAGTGGAGGCGGCGCGGATGGCGTCGCCCAAAGCATTAACGCGATCAAAGTTGATCGACTGAAAAAAGTCGATCGCTAGAGCGAGATTGTCGGACGCGGTCGGAGGGCAGGTCGCGGGAGAGGGACGAGTCGCGGGGGAGGGCCGTATCGCGGGGGTGGGATGAGTCGCGGGGGAGAGAGTTGTAGCCGTGTTCGTGTACGGCAACGGTTTAGCCCAGGCCGAGACGCTGGGCACCGACGCCGGCACGAAAGCAGGCTTAGCCTTCGGCACAGAGGGTGCCGTGGCTTTGATGTCTGATATAATTTGCCTAATTACTGGTGGTAGGACCTCTTGTGAGTCCGCGCGGGTGGGTACCACCACCCTGCCTATTTCTGCCGTGAAGCAGTAATGCATTTCGGTTTGAAGGGTGGGGCAGCCGTTGTAACTATACTTGAGATCTTAGAGCTTGTATCTCAAGGTGGGTGGCGCATTTACGTTGTGGATGTCTATGGGCTCCAGTAACCACTTAACACCAGGTGGGCTGTGAGCTAGTTCACACATCTAAGCAATAAAAAAAAACTACTTACTTGGAAATGTAATTGAGTTCCCATCCACGCCGGTACGAATATTTGTAAGGTCATGGCAAATAGGTAAGTTACCATGAATAATAAGGTTTCAGTAGAAGAACGCTGCAAATTAAATGATAAATAAATAAAAATGGGAAACAGACACACTGAATTGCATTCTCGGGCTATATTATTGATATGTAACTGACGACAGCCACGACAAAAGGGATATTGTGTCACGCTTTTTCAAACTAACACCAATAAAGTATTTACCGAATTTTAACCTTAAAAGTAGTTTTGATTATGTCTTCGTCTCGCGAAAATTACTAAAACTAAGTGTCAGTGAAAGTTTAATTTATATCAAGTGGAATATTATACAGTCAATAACATATATCATCTTACCACCATTATCAATCCACACATAGCAACGCATATAATCGCTGAAGCTACCCCGAACTGAACGAACATCGCAACGTCCAATATACTTTGCACCGTTGAACAATATCTGAAACATTAAAGTTAATATTTCAATGACATTCTCCGTTAGAACTAAAATGAAAACACAAAATTTCTAAATTAACATTTACTTCAATACGAGCTCATAGTGCTTTAAGATCTCGTTTAACTTCAATACTTCCGTTATGTTCATAAGACCCCTGTCCATTTTTCGTTCCCTTGGATTTAGCTTCAGGCTTAAAAGCTTAGTTTGTATTATCTTTAGCTGCGTCACTGCCATCATAAGAAGTCCCGAAATGAAAGTATCAATGTTGACGTTGTACATCATGTGCCCGTACATACCAAAAGATTGATAAATATACCAGCCAGAAAAAAAATTGTGACGAAGCTCTTCGTTCAAAAAATAATAGTTACATATTGGTAGTTCTAGTTTTGTTTTCCATATCAGTTTCACTATTAGAGGTCCAAGAACTTGGGACGAATAAGCGAAATTAGATAATATGGCGTACAGTTTCCAGTATGTTTTGTAAGCGGAATTATTTTTTTGGATAATAGCAGAGCTTTCTTCGCTGTTTCCTCGGAATTCGTTTTTATTCAACAAATCGAAGGCGTCCAAAATTTTATTTCGCTTGAATAAAATCATTAAAACTTTAGTTGTGACTGTTATTTCTGTAAAACAAAATATAACTTCCCGGATTAATAACTCAAATTTAAGAGGGGTGTACAGCAGATTAATAGCAAGGAGCGAGTTATACATAATTAAAGTTATAAATAAAAAAACAAACGAATAATATTTGTAAGTTTTCGAAGATCTCCTGTCGGCCCATATCCCAAACATTTTCCAGAAAAATACATTTGGTTTGAAAATGTCTGTTTGATAAACGAGCGTCATCATTCTTACAGCAGTTCCCTGAACATTAAACTCGAAATACACCTTCACTCGGATTAAAGGTGTTAATTAGCTGTAAATTATTCTGATGCAAAAAGAATTTAATTGAACACTATAGCAATACTGCCGCCTTTTTTAATGATCTCATAATTGGCAATACAATAAGGTCACTCTTTATAGAATTGTTTTGTAGAATTCATTGTTTATTTTCTACATTCACACTTTTCTACAAATGTTCATGATTGACTTCCACGGTGAAGGAATCCTGTAGTAAAAATCAAGACCGCAAAATTATAATTTGCGTAATTACTGGTGATAGGACCTCTTGTGAATCCGCACGGGTAGTTAGTATACCCTGCCTATTTCTGCCGTGAAGCAGTAATGAGTTTCGGTTTGAAGGGTGGGGCAGCCGTTGTAACTATACTGAGACCCTTAGAACTTATATCTCAAGGTGGGTGGCGCAATTACGTTGTAGATGTCTATGGGCTCCAGTAACCACTTAACACCAGGTGGGCTGTAAGCTCGCCCACCCATCTAAGCAATAAAAAAAAGGGTGGAGCAGCCGTTGTAACTATACCAAAGCCTTAGAACTTATATCTCAAGCTCGTCCAATCATCTAAGCAATAAAAAAAAACACACACACAAAATTTATGGCGATAAGTGCGAGCTTACTTAATTTAAATGAAAATAAGAATAGTAAATTATACAGAGCATGCGCTCGCAAATTTGGATTCGACGTGTGAGCTAGTGTAAAAATATCCTCGATTAAGATTCACAAAAATTTTAAGACGGATAGTAAATTCGAAAAGGCTAAGTAAAACAGGAAAATTTCAATATTTAATATTAGACCCTATACTTAAAGCGCCAAGTAGATTAATACAATGGACGTGTTTGCAATTTGGAAAACGGTGCAGCCCTTCGGGTGCGTTTTAATTGAAGGGGTCGGAAACTTGGGGATTAATGATTCTACTAAAATCTTCAACGTTTCATTTCTCGGGGCATTGTGATGTCGTTACTCATATTAGTATGACAAATTTTAATGAGTTTCGATGATGCGTTATACTTAACAATGATATTAAGAACTTAGAACTGAGTTTAACATAAACAATGCTGTTTGTACCAGATCCTCAAAAATTCGATGACATACTTCACAATCTAGTCTTGATGCCGCATAAAATAAATAGGTACATTAAAAAAAAGAAAGTCACAACAATGTCACTTAAAAACATAAACAATCAAGTAATTTTTTCATCGACATTAATATTAGTAGTATAGTAACATTCCATGATAATTTTGAGTGGATAAACATTAAAATATGAAGTACACTCTTCATTTGCCAACAATTCTCGTTCAGCACTTAGAATTCATTTACCCGCGTACTAATAACAATAAAAGGAAATAGCCCGCTTTATGTAGAAATTCATTCCTCCAAGGCGAATCCTAAGGCGCCGAGTTTTGCTAATTACTGGCTGTAAATTTACCCTTTCAAAAAAATAATTTAGGCTCTTTTCAAATACATACATACACTAGTGTACCGATTTTCGACTAACGTAGATCGCGCGTTAAATTAAATGCTTAAAATTTTGTAAATGGTAATATTCTGAATTTTATTGATAATACGCTTGAATTAAGATCGTATCCTCTAGATACAGATATAAGCTCAACAGTAACATTTATTATTATTATTATTAAGGAAGCAGAAAATAAAACATAACATACCACAAACCACAGTACGATTAGATTATAATGTAGGAGTAAAGAAAAAAGAAAAACGAAGTAAACAGCATCCATTCGAACGACAAGTAACAAGTTTTTTTTTTATTGCCCTTGTAAGCAGACGAGCATACGGCCCTTCTGATGGTGAGTGGTTACCGTCGCCCATGGACTTCAGCAATGCCAGGGGCAGAGCCATGCCGCTGCCTACCAAGTCCATGAATAACATCTACAGCTGTCAAGCTCATAGGAGTCATAGACAAGTCCCTACGTAGAGACAGCACAATAACTCCAATATAAACTTAACCTTGTCCAAAATGAGACGCAGTATATACATCAACAAATAATAAGTACTGAGTACATTCATTTTTAATGATGGTAGAATCGAGCCCTCTTTCGCCTGGGGCAAATTTACGAATTATCTGAACATCTCCTATAATCGATATCAGAGAAGCTTCTTCAAAATCTATATTACCAATCAATCATATAAACGTAAACAGACATAACGAATACCTACTGTTGATGACTGAATGACATGACCGGATGACCTTCGACAGTTATACGTGTATTTCATTTAATCTATATATTAATACGTGAAGCAAAAACTTTGTATCCCTTTTTACGAAAATTGCGCGGACGGAGGAGTATGAAATTTTCACACTTATAGAGAATATAGAGAAGAAGTGCACCATGCTAATATATTTTTTTAAATAATGCATAAAAGATACATTAAATCAATAAAGAAAACATTACACACCTACATACCATGACAATGTATTTGACGCAAACACCACTGAAGTAGGAAACCTATAGGTCTATGCGCACACACGCATACATACTATTTATTGTCAAACTTTCGTTCTTGACGTCTGTTGTCAAATTGAGAATAGATTAAATATTGTTTGTCTTTATTAATATTTTTTTATAGTGTAGTCTTGGTGAAATTTGTGATTATAGAAGTATAAAATACAATCATAATAGTGTACAAACTTGCAATTCCAATTAGTCGAATTTCGACTACTGCGGGACCTCTAGTAATGTTTATTACGTATGAATATCATTTTATCCTTTTAATCTTCAACGTATCAATAGACTTGGCACAGATTATAATAACCCGATAATGACTGCTTAAATCAAATTTGAATGTACTGAACTCCATTCACACATGCAAAGTTTGCGAGGGATTTGAAAGAAGGCGAGACCTACCTTAATTATGGCTCCAGGCGACCTATTGTGAAAAGTAACTCTCATGAACACCGGAAAATTATAAAACTAAATGTATACGAGAGTCTGTAGTTCGGTTGGGACTAAAAAAGTTTTCATCTGCGTAGACTTCTATTGATAAAATCTACTTTATAATAATTTTGTAACGAAGTCAACGAAGACATGCTTAAATTACGAAACAAATTGGACTTTGTTAAAAATTATGTGAGTAATAGTATGTGTAAATCTGTATTCCTTTATCAATATCAGTCAATGTAATCGTTGATGTCATCTTTCGAAATTGAAAGATTTCAAAACAAATTTTTGCTTTAGTGCCTTATCCATATTTCAATGCTAACAATTTTAGAACAAAATTATATGGGTGCAGTCTTTAAAAATGTTGAAGTTAAACACAAAAACTAGATTAAAAATTTAACGTTTAGTCTATTAATACAAGAATAGATGCAAGTTCATGAGCAGGTTTTTTTACTGGTGATAGAACCTCTTGTGGGTCCGCACGGGTAGGTACCACCCTGCTTATTTCTGCCGTGAAGCTGTAATGCATTTCGGTTTGAAGGGTGGGGCAGCCATTACAACTATACTGACACCTTAGAATTATGATTATTTATTTATTTTATTTATTTATTTATTTATTTATGTACACACAGAAAACAAGACACAGTACAGAGTAATAGGAAAATTATGTACAAAGGCACTGCTCTCATTATCTCAAGGTGGGTGGCGGCATTTATGTTGTAGATGTCTATGTGCTCTAATAATGTATGTATACATTTATTGGCCCAATAATAAACCCTGAGCTCGGTCAGCTAAAATCCATATCATTGTTTTAAGCGAATGCGTAAGTGAAATATTAAGTTCAAGTAAAGACCTTAGGTAAGAATTATGCTTATAGAAAGGAATGTCCTTATGATTTTGATATTTTTAACATAGTACCCGGGCTATGTTGCTCTACAGCAATTTCTCTCTGCGGCACGTCGGCTTCCTGTTTTTTAATTAAGTGAAACTAAGAGGCCCTTTTGTTTCCACAGACAGGCCGCGCTCGCTAATTGCCCGCCAGTCAGTCACCTGTCACCGGCAACGCTTTATTTGCCCACTTGTGCTTAAAAGGGCAAATCTTAAACATTCATAATAGATGAATGGTTTCTAGCTAGTTAGGCAGATGAATGTGCATTTCTTGAAATTTTGCAAAATTGTAATTTTGTCTTCGATCATTGACGTTGAAAATGGGATCCCGAGTGCTATAAAATTTTGTAAAACTTTTGCTGCCTCAAGATCTTGAAATCAGCATCGTTGAAACTTTCAAATACAAATTCAAAAATTATTTATTGTTTCGGTACTCTTATTTTATTAATTAATTTAAGGTTAGTGACGTTCCGAGTATCACAGAGTTTTCATAGTAGCTAACAAAAAGTGGGTGAAAATTTATCTATCTTCTATTATAATAAAAATTAATAAAACATTTAGCTAACTAGAAGTTTGTTTGACTTGCTGCTTAAATATCTCAAATCCAATGAGATTTTGAGGGTTGGACCTCAGTGATTAAGTGAATTGCAACTGAGTCGATTTCTTGTGAGTCGACGAAACGAAGACGATTACTTTGGGAAGTACTTGTACCTGAGATGAACGGTGGAATTCTACGACTGGGTTTGCTAATTGACACGGCAGATCACTTTTGTGGTATGCTCCGCGTGGATGGGACTGTGTCCTCAACGCATAAATCGGTACACCGCTGTGTCTGCCTCCTATGAGTGCACCATATTGTAGAAGTAGGCGACGGGGCGTGAGAAAGAGCCTCTTCCTCTCTCCATATCAACCCGTAACCGTCGAGCCGGATGCGCAGAAAGGGCTCTCGCCCGAATCTTACTCTCCTAATTATTTCGGGTCTCCTCCGCACGCCAATTTGGAGATCGTTGAATTAAACCAAGAACGTGTCTATAAGCTGATGTACATTAATCTTGCAAAATAACAAACAGGTGATGGAGGACCGCGATTCACTCTGCGTGAAACGAGACATCTTGCCTGCTTCAAATGAGTTCAATATTTCATTCAAAACGAGGATGCTGGTCCTGATAATCTGG